CCTTCTGATGTCAGTTGTTATTAAGGAAATGTTGGTTTGATGGTTCTCTGTGTTTCAGCTGGAGTTAGATCCTTATGTCACGTCACACTCCATGAACTCAAAATGGTTTCATGTTTTCTAAAGCAGCCTTAAACACTGCAGTGATTAGACCACATCTGTTGATAGTCCTGTAATGTTGCTATGAATTTGCACCAAAGCAGAGAAGAAGGCATGGAGTTAATTATGGATTCATACCAAATATGATTCCAGTTCATTTTTAACTAATTTGCATTTTGTTCCTCACTTGACATTTTGGGAGAAAAAAGTGTGGCCAATAGGGCCAATGGAGACAAAGCCCGACTTATTGCACTGTGTCATCAAGTAGAAAGAGCTTCTATCTGTTGCTTGCTCGCTCCAACGCAACTTGGTGGACCAGGATGTTACACAGCAGTTACAGTCTGGTAACTAATGCTGAAGCCGAACAGAGTCGCTGGCGTCCGAGTCCTTCAGATTCTCCATAGGGGCTCCCAGGTTCCGGGGTCCGGGAGATATGGCTGAATCATGGTCACTTTCAGTGTTGGTTCCATCTGTCCAGGATCTGGAACTTCAACCAGACATCAGAGGAAATGAGGCCCTCTGGTACTAAGGGAGGACAGCAGAGATCAGAGAAAGAGGCCGGAGCTGGATGCAGAGGCGGTTCCTGGCCGAGAATGACAAAAGCTTCATCTCGCTCTGCTCTTTAAACTTTAACAACACCCCTGATTAGGTGTGATGCAAATTGACAGAAAATTCCAGATTTTTTAAATCTGGCTAAATTTAATGTGCATCTAACGTTGGTTTTGCTTTGATCTCTTAGTTTGCATCACTTCTGTTTTAAACAGGACTCTAGAGAACATTAAACCCCTCGCACCAGTCACATCATTCACAGCATAAGGCAGAGGTGTTCCTGGGTTCACCACTGGTGGTTTCAAAGCTATTATGGATGCAAAAAGGGAAAGATAAATGTATTTATTTTTTTCATTTTACCAAACTCTTTTTTTTCTTTGGGGGGAGGCCTTTGAGACAGGATGCAGTTTAAGCTGCGTTTGCCACAGGGTTCAGTGCAGCAGCGTGCTGCCTTGGTACTGTGCTGCACTGGCTGCTTGATGCTGTTGCTGGCTGGGTTGGTGGAGCTCGGGTTCATTGTGCTTTGCTAAGAAGCAAGTGGCAGCACTAGCCCTGCTAATTAGGAGCAGCAAAGAAGAAGAGGCGGTGCATTAAACCCTGAGGTCCATCAAGCAGCTTGGGAAGTTCAGGCTCTTAAAAGGGCTTCATTTCACAGCAACCATTTCCACATCTATTTTCCACAAAGTATGAAGCAGTTGGAACATTTTGCAGAGAGTTGGACCAATGATAACAGGAATCAATGCAAATCTGACAAGCATTAAATAAGCTTGTCCTCCATTTTCATCTCCAGTCCCCCGCCTCATGAAAAGGTTTGTATTGGCAGAGATGAGGTTTGACCATGGTGGACGTTGGAGCTCCCTTGGACCAATGTTTTGCTCCACAGAGTGTGTTTGTGCCCTTGCACAGTTCACTCCTTTATAAATGGTGGGTTTGGGAGCAAAGCAGTGCGTATGCAGCATCCTCTCTGAAAATCCCACTGGTCACGCCGATAAACCAGCATCTTAGCTTTGGTCCAGGTCCCTTAGTGTCATTTTATCGGTACCTTAGACCCGTCAGTCACCCACCTATGGTCCAGTGACTCAGGGAGAAACGGATCCATAAGGCCAGCAAACAGCAATTTATAGATTCAAGAAAGTAGAATTTAGAAACTCCTATTTCTATGCCACTCCCTAGCCAATCAGTGATCAGCAGTCTCCTGATGTCACATTTTCAGCCTAGAAATGCATTTAAGTAGATACTAAACATATCTAGATAACCGTTACTGAGTTGGTAGAAGTGGTTTATGGCCATAAGAACTTTTTAACTTTGGTTGCTGGTCCTCAGCTACTGACTGTTGGTGATTAAATGCTGTTTATCTGTCTCTGAGAGACACCAGGGGACAGATCCCAGAAGAACTTTGGGTTCCAGGACAAGATGTCATCTGCTTAGCTTTGCTCCTGTTTTTAGGGGAGGACCTCTGGGAGCCTCACAGAACGGCTCCTTCACTCCTCTTTTCATTCTCCACCTCATCTCAGGTGTCTGGTGGATATCTGTCCAGCTGAAGACGAACCTGAAGCAACAGCTGAAGGGAACCAGCCCACCGAAGCTGAGCTTGAAACAACGGAGCCGGTCACTCCTTCTTCAACTGATGTAGAACCAGCATCAGAGAGGAAAGACCTGGAGAGTCCTATAAACCAGCAGCCAGAACCACCACCCCCCTCCACAGAGCAGGTGACTTTCCATAAACATCTGACATCCTCTTGCAACATGAAGGGTGTTTCCTAAAGAGTCAGAACCAGAACCTGAGCAGCCTGATGAAAGTTTTTAGTTGGTTCTTGTTTGAGATTTGAAGATCCTCTCACAGAAAGTTCTGGAAAAACCCTGCAGGATCCATCTAAGATTTCATTAAATCTTGTCCCATTTGATTTATTTTAAAGTTCTGATTCCTTTTGTTTTGGTTTACTGTAGCAAAAGCAATGGAGACATCCTGCCTCTGCACTTTTTCAAATGTCCGTTAAGGTCCCCTCTACTTTTTACTGTCCAAGAACAATGTTAGGCTACCGTACACAGACATCTGTACTCCGACCATGCAGATAACTGCAGCTTAATCTGAGCTCGCTTCCCTGAGTTTAGGCCGCCCACAAGCTCCTGATTGGCCCACCGCCGCCCACAAGCTCCTGATTGGCCCACCGCCGCCCACAAGCTCCTGATTGGCCCACCGCCGCCCACAAGCTCCTGATTGGGGCGCCGTCTTTTCTTGTGTGATTGGCTTTAACCGCTGTCACTCCTGAGAAGCTCATTGCCACTGAATGTGATTTGATGGTCAAACAGGCTGGTTAGGTATATTAAAAAGTACTTCCGTCCCCCCCACCTCTGAAATCAAACTTTCGTCAACGTGCCTCTGCGGGATGGTTTTTGTTCAGAGCTCCAATCAGCCACATCTTCTTCTCTTCTCAGAGCGAAGCTGCGGCAGCATCTGCAGAAGAAGCAGCAGCAGGTGGAACCGGAGGTGAGAGCAAAAAAAACCCTTTGACTAAAAAGTGCCAGTGATGTTATGTTGGTGTTGGTCCAGTCTTAGTTCACTCTGTGGTTCCCGCTGGTCGTTAAATGGACAAATACCTGTTTCAGATGATCTTATTGATGTTTCTCCATCCAGTTTTCAGCAGCTGTGCTCCCATAAAGACTTTCCTGCTTCGGTTCCCGTTTGCAGCAGATTGCATGGAGCGCTGCAGGAAGCTAATGCATGAGCATGACCTAACGCCAGCCACGCTGTCCATGCTGAACCCCTGCAAAGAGCTCAATGAGCTCACCCAGCAGCTGTGGCAGTTCCCAAAGCAGGCGCAGCAGCACTGCAGCAGCATCACCAGCCGTTTCACTCTTCCCAGCTTCCTTAGCAGCCTTAACCGCTCCACCCAGCAGCAGAGCTCCCCAGAACCCTGATGCACCCAGTCTGCAGCTCCAGCCTATAAAGTGCCAAATGCAGCTGCTGCAGCTCCCTGGAAGCTGATCCGCTCCAGACTTTCCCCTCTACCACATGCAGTAACCTCCGGTGGCCATTTAACTGGAATGCACATCAGACAGCCTCGTCCTGCTCTGAGAAGCTGGACTAATCAGAACTGAACTTATTCCTGTAGTTTCATGAGTTAAAGGTGCTTTGGATTTGATTGTATTTGGGAATTTTTATCGACATAAAAAACATAAATTCAGTAAATTTTACAAATAATGTGAAAATTCCCAAAGCAATAAATATTTTATTGTCAATTGAATAAATCACAGAGAAATAAAACAATAAAAAACCAAATAATGTCAGAGAAAGACAGAAACAGCTGGAATGGTGTCCATCAGCAAATGATCTACCTGTAGCTTTAAGGCGGCTGAGGTTCTGTTTCAACTTGTTTTCCCCAAAGTTCTTCCCTGAAGATCCGTGAAGGGTGGGGTAAGGAGAACCCAACCCCACCCAATTACTGGATAGAAATAAACTTTACGAAGATGAAAAGGCTAGCTTTCTGTTAAACTGCATCTGTTTGGTCTGAAGATGTGAATATCTTAGTCACAGAAGCAACTGATGAGTCTCACATCTGTTACTATGGAGACAGGGAAGGTTGAAGTAGAGAGAAAGTCCATCATCTCCGCCTCTGTTGGACATTAGGAGCCAAAGGATTCGACTTCAGTTTCACTTCGCTCTAATTGAAGACATGATTTCAAATATTTAAAAGGAAAACGAGGATAAAAGTGTCTCTAATGTAAATTTGCAGATTTACAGTTTTGACTCTATTATTGTTAAGAGACCCATCTTCTGTCAAATGTCCATTAGAGAGACAGCCTGGGGGAAGAAGCTGTGCCGTTTGTTTTTACCTGAAGCTAAATGTCTAAATAGGTTGTGTCCAATATGTCTGGATCACAGAGATGTTAGCCAACCTTTGCCCGACCCTTCCTGTGCGGCTCCTTGATAGAGGAAAGGATGATCAACCTCTCTGTATTCATTTAATCAATAAAATGTGTTTTTTATTAGGAGACGTTTGGATATATGTAAACGAGTGTTGAACTGATGCCGTATTTCAGGCCCAGATACCCGATACCTGGCTGTGCAGTAGCTGCCGATACCTTCTGTTTGAAATTAATGTGTGTTTATATGAAGAACTGCAGATTACTGGGATGTAAAATAATCACCATCATGGCTTCAAGCTGCTGCCTTCCTTTGTGAAGCAGGAAAAAGACTAAAACAGTGAATCCAGTAGAACTTTTTATTGCCTACCTGGAATGGGTGACAATAGGTGAAGAAACTTTTGGCTCTCAGAATGGTACCAGTGCCCTATTGGTTGGTACTCGCCGATACCGATGGCACCATTTTAGTGCTGGATCGGGGCCCCCCCGATACTGGTATCGGTATCGGTGTGAAACCAATTTAAACAAACATTTCTTTTATAGATAGAGACCTCATCTTAGGGGGCCTGGTGGCCTAGTGGTTAGGGCATAGGACTTAGAATCCTGAGGTTGTGAGATAGAAACCCACTCTTAACCCCCGATTGCTCCCTGGGTGCTGCACAGTGGCAGCCCACTGCTCCCCAAGGGGATGGGTTATATGCAGAGAGTTAATTTATCCACTATGAGATCAATAAAGTTCATTTATTTATTCATCTCAGTCAGTCCTTTGTTGTTGTTGTTGTTTTTTTAAAGATAAATATGTCCAAACTCTACAGAACTGCAGGTTCTGACAGACCTTCAAGTGTTTATGGGATATTTATGGGAATAATCAGGTTTTATCGCATGCTTGGTCAAACCTACAGAATGTCAGTTAAAAAGTTATTCCTGTTCATCCAATCAGCTGTCTGATGTTTAACCTTTTATCTTATAAATGCACCCAACTGCTGCACAATCCTGCACTTCCTGCCGCTGCTTTTAGATCCCTAAAAGAAGTGCCTTCACAATGAGGCTGGCAGTAAAGCTTCACCATGAGGCTGGTAGTAAAGCTTCACAATGAGGCTGGCAGTAAAGCTTCACAATGAGGCTGGTAGTAAAGCTTCACAATGAGGCTGGCAGTAAAGCTTCACAATGAGGCTGGTAGTAAAGCTTCACAATGAGGCTGGCAGTAAAGCTTCACAATGAGGCTGGCAGTAAAGCTTCACCATGAGGCTGGTAGTAAAGCTTCACCATGAGGCTGGTAGTAAAGCTTCACCATGAGGCTGGTAGTA